GGGGAGTACACCCCCACACACGTGACCATTGGGATCCTCCTCTAATAAGTAATGATAAATTATGGTTAATATTTTTTTTAACTTTTTGTGGGTTTTTTCCTTCTTTTATTTCAAATACAAGTATAGTTAGTATACATTTTGGAGCGCATTTGGTTGCTCAGAATGCAGGAAATGACATTTCTGTGCTTCAAATTTCAAAAATTTTCTGGGGGAGTACACCCCCCCCCTCATTCATGCGTGCATGGTATGTTCGGCGCACACGTGGCCTTCAGCCATTGCTATCTCCCTGTAATATATTATCCCACAGAAAGGTCCCTTTTCAAAAAATCCCCCCCCCCCCGGGAAAATCCTTAAAAAAGGCCCTGGCCATGCCACCTGACATGGCGGGTGACGTGCAAGTCAAGAATAGAGAAAATGTAAAAATCAGTCCAGTCCAACTGTCCAGTCCAGTCCATGTTTTGTACTATGCCCTGTATGTTGCGTGGTATTAAAATGCACAAGCTTTGCAGCGCTAATTATAAAACTACAAAAAACTACAATACATACGTCAATGCCGTTCGCGCAATTTGATTGGTGCTGACAAGGCAAGACGAAACGGAAGTTTTTATTGCGAGTTTCAAACAAAAAATTGTCTAAAAGTCTGGGTTGGCGGGTTGGGATAAAACGCGGATACGCACGGACAGACGCGGATGGTCGGACGGACAAAAAAATAGATTGCGGACATAAAAATAAAATGCGGATGGTGAAAAAAAACTAATAAAATGTGGCAACTACAAAATATAATTCCAAACAGCATAATGGGTTTGCCTTCATCTCATAGAGATCATAGATATAGAATGCGTGCTCCTATCTTTTCTTAGTAAAAATTTTGTCTCCACAAAATGGCGGATTTATAAGGGCATTTCGGCTAGTCCCAGACTCCTGCAACAAAGAATTTTGCGCGGTTGCAGGAGTGCGAATTGTATGGCGTCGGTATTGATTATACATTAATCATCTTCCAATCTCAATCTCATTCCGATTAAGAGTTTGTGCACGAATATATTATTGTTTGATCTTGGTGTATACAACACAACATCATCAAAGCATTTAAATCTACTTTACAAGAGTATGTTATAAATATATTTGTATAACTTATACTCGCTTGTTTGAAGTTTGCAAACGGTTTTTAGTGATTTGTAAATATATATATATAGACTAGTAAATACATATTAACTAAACAGTCTGATTAAAATTCAGTCCTGGTTAACCTAGAAATAACCCTATTTGGGTTGACTTAATATTCCTGGTTGTTTTATCTCACTTCCTACCATAGTCTGATTAATGTAACCAGGAATCTGGCCAATTATATTTGACCAGGACGTTGATTTAACTAGGAAATCCTGCATGGTCAAATTCAATCAAACCATGGTAGGGAAAAGATTAAAATAACCAGGAAATTAGAGTGAATTTATCATTAAATTGCGCTTTCTGCCAGACATGTATATTGCTGCATTAATTTCGATTAAAACCAGCGTTGATTTCCACAGTAGACACACGGTTACCTGGACTTTCATCATCAATTTTTTGTCTGTCTTTAGAAACGTCCGTGTCCTTCCTACAGCAGCACTTGTAATACGCTACGCAAAACACAGTTTCTAGTGCAATGCCACCAAGCACGCACGCTAATGCTACAGGTAAAAGCACATCTGTATCTGCCATGCTTATTTTACGGCGACCATATTTTGTAATTCCAATCGTAAGAGCCAACATTATCATATTTTCAACGGCCAAAATGATGGATATAATGAAAGTATAAAACCGTCGATTCTTGCAAAACGCCAATAGAGGTTCTGACGCGAATACCAAGAGGGGATAGACACAGCAACACGAAGCGGAAAGCATGAAAATCCACGGTCCTACTCCCTCCCCCTTAAATTCGTCCTTTCGATGAATCGCTATTGCTATGGTAACCACGAACCAATGAAATGCGAGGATGCTAAACACGTGATATTGAAAAACGTATGCAAAAATAACGATCGCGGATAGCCGTGATGCTAAGGCGAAAAATTGCCATGCCAAAAATGCGAATGCTAAGCTAGGATTGTTGTTTTTTGTCTCTCGGGCTTGCTCGAGAGCTGTAATACACCATGCCAAAGATAGTAGCGAAACTGAAGTGGACAGTACGGTGAAGCATGGAAAATCCCATTGTTCCAACATTATAAAAAGCTGTAAGCAAAACTGAGGAGCACTTTCGGTTAAGGCTTGTATAAGATGCAACCAGGCTAGCGAGTAGATCGATTTAGCCAACTTTCTCTTCTTTTCCAAAAGGTTTTCGCATTCTCTGCAAGTTGACTTCTGACACGCTTCTCCACACAGAGAACTATCCAAATTTGCCCGTTTCCAATAAGTTAACTCTTCCATATAACGGGATAGAATTGGACAACATGCACAAAATACCCACAGCCATTTACAGGGGCCTTCAATAGAGTCTTTTGAGGCGTGTAAACAAGCCGCAACATTGGTTATAACGATAGTAATAATGATAAAACTCAGTGTAGGTGCAAACCATTTCGATTCGTTGTTTCGATAATACTGTATAGCTATCCAAATGTCTGACGTCAAGTCGAGGATGTAGATTAGCATTCCGATCACCAAAAAGAAAAGTTGGGCTTTTCCTCTCATTTTTAATTCCAAATTAAATCTCTTTGTAAAATCTGCTAGAAATTATAAATAAATGTGTTGAATGAGTATGAGCTGTGAAATGGTTTAAAATTAATTTTGGAAAGTTTTAATTAAAGTTTCAAAGTTAGCACGTTGTTGTTGTTGTTGTTGTTGTTGTTGTTGTTGTTGTCGTTGTCGTTGTCGTTGTCGTTGTTGTTGCTGTAGTAGTTG